TCCTGAAAGACAGTCCCAACCTGTTCTTCACAAACAGACATCTGCACAAACAACCCAAACACTGCACCATGGAATGACCACCAGAAACCAAATGGCACAAAAAGGACAAACCAAAGGCAAAACAAACGGCACAGCTAAATGCAATGCACAAGGTTAAATGTCTAAATGGGTGTCTTGTGCTCCTGGATGTCTTGGCATGTGGTCCTAAAGTATTAAAGAAGAATGGCAGCAAGGGCATCACCTGGTGCCAGCAAATGCAGAAGGCCAGCATGCAAGGAAGGTGGGCAGAGCGGGCAAGAACGCAATGGGAATGTGTGTGCTTCAACACATAGCTCATCGGCCCAAAGTTGCCCATTGTTTCAGATGGGCACAGTGCTGTTCATGAACATGGCTTGAGGCTCTGCCACAGGCAGGGCATGTCCTGCCTGAAGGGTGGGGGTGCATGCAGTAGCAGTATACCTGTCATCATCAATGCTGGTCAACAATGCTGGAAGAATTCATGGGAACAGAAAGTAATCTACGGGATGCAACACTGTACTCGACCCTGATGGTCCTGACCACCTACCCCTCAGTAGCATGTACTGACGCCCTCCTCTACACCCTCAGTAGTATGTACTGACGCCTCCTCCCATGAACCCTCAGTAGTATGTACTGATCGCCCCTCTCCTACACCATCAGTAGTATGTACTGACGCTCCTCACTCTAAACCTAGAAAATGGACGTCCCCTCCCACACCTCAGTAGTGTGCACCACGCCCCCTGCTCTAAACCATCAGTAGTATGTGTGTACTCTCACGTCCTCTCACACCACCAATAGTAATTAATGCCCTCTCTCTACACCCTCAGTAGTATGTACTGCTGGATCGTCCTCTCCTACACCCTCAGTAGCATGTACTGACGCCCCTCTCCTATACCCTCAGTAGTATACTCGATCGTCCTTCTCCTACACCCTCAGTAGTATATACTGACGCCCCTCTCCTACACCCTCAGTAGTATGTACTGACGCCCCTGCAACACCCCTCTCAGTAGTAGCATGTACTCACGTCCCTCCTACACCCTCAGTAGTATGTACTGGATGCCCCTCTCCTACACTTCTTCAGTAGCGTACTGACGCTCCCTCACCTAAACCCTCAGTAGTATGTACTGACGTCCTCTCCTACACCCCTCAGTAGTATGCACTGGATGCCCCTCTGCCCAAACTCTCACAGGAAGCGTCACGCACTGACGCCCTCGCCTAAAACCCTCAGAAGCGCATGTACTTTCGACGCCCTCTCCAACACCCTCAGTAGTAGTATAAAATTGACGTCCTCCTCCTACACCATCAGTAGTGTATGTACTGACGCTCCTCACCTAAACTCCTCCTCAGTAGTATGTAATTGACGTCCTTCACCTTAAACCCTCAGTAGTATGCACTGACGTCTGACGTCCCCCTCTACAACCTCTCAGTAGTATGCACTGACGCCCCCTCTGCAACACCCCTAGCAGTATGTACTGACGCCCTCTGCAACACCTCTGTGTAGAAATGTACTGACGCCCCTCCCCTACACCCTCACAGTAGTATGCTGTACTCGACGCCCTCACCTACACCCCTCAGTAGTATGTACTGACGTCCCTCACCTACACCCTCAGTAGTATGCACTGACGTCCTCTCCTAAACCCTCAGGAAGTATGTACTGGGACGTCCCTCTCCAACACCCTCAGTAGTATGTGTACTGACGCCCCTCTCCTACACGCTGAGTGTAGTATGTACTTGACGTCTCTACCTACACCTCAGAAGTATGTGTACCTTAGACGCCCTCCAACACCCCTCAGTAGTATGTACTGACGCCCCTCCTACTACCCCCTGTGTAGTATGTACTGACGTCCCTCACCTACACCTCCTCAGTAGTATGTACTGGACGTCCTCTCTCTGCTAAATTCACATCAGTAGCATGTACTGACGCCCCTCTCCTACACCCTCACAGTAGTATATATACTGACGCCCTCCTACTACACTCAGTAGTATGTGTACTGACGTCACTCTCCTACACCATCAGTAGTGTGTACTGACGCCCTTCCTCCTACACCCCTCAGTAGTATGTACTGACGTCCTCTCCTACACCATCAGTAGTATGTATTGACACCCTCTCCTACACCCTTCAGTAGTATGTGTATTAACGTCCTCTCCTACACCCCTCAGTAGTATGTACTGACATCCCTCTCTACACCCTCAGTAGTATGTACTGACACCTCTCTCCCACACCCTCAGTAGTATGTACTGACTGTCCCTCTCCTACACCCTCAGTAGTATGTACTGACGCCCTCTCCTACACCCTCAGTAGTATGTACTGACGTCCTCTCCTACACCCTCAGTAGTATGTACTGACGCCCTCTCCTACACCCTCAGTAGTATGTACTGACGCCCTCTCCTACACCCTCAGTAGTATGTACTGACGTCCCCTCACCTACACCCTCAGTAGTATGTACTGACGCCCTCTCCTAAACCCTCAGTAGTATGTACTAACATCCCCTCCTACACCCTCAGTAGTATGTACTGACGCCCCTCCTACACCTCAGTAGTATGTACTGACGCCCTCTCCTACACCCTCAGTAGTATGTACTGACGCCCTCTCCTACACCCCTCAGTAGTATGTACTGACGTCCTCTCCTACACCCTCAGTAGTATGCACTGACGCTCTCTCCTACACCCTCAGTAGTATGTACTGACGCCCTCTCCTACACCCTCAGTAGTATGTACTGACGCCCCTCTCCTACACCCCTCAGTAGTATGTACTGACGCCCTCTCCCTACACCCTCAGTAGTATGTACTGACGCCCTCTCCTACACCCTCAGTAGTATGTACTGACGTCCTCTCCCTACACCCTCAGTAGTATGTACTGACGCCCTCACCTAAACCCTCAGTAGTATGTACTGACACCCTCTCCTACACCCTCAGTAGTATGTACTGACGCCCTCTCCTACCCCTCAGTAGTATGTACTGACGCCCTCTCCTACACCCCTCAGTAGTATGTACTGACGCCTCCTCTCCTACACCCTCAGTAGTATGTACTGACGCCCTCTCCTACACCCTCAGTAGTATGTACTGACGCCCTCTCCTACACCCTCAGTAGTATGTACTGACGCCCTCTCCTACACCCTCAGTAGTATGTACTGACGCCCTCTCCTACACCCTCAGTAGTATGTACTGACGCCCTCTCCTAACACCCTCAGTAGTATGTACTTGACGCCCTCTCCTACACCCTCAGTAGTATGTACTGACGCCCTCTCCTACACCCCCTCAGTAGTATGTACTGACGCCCTCTCCTACACCCTCAGTAGTATGTACTGACGTCCCTCCTACACCCTCAGTAGTATGTACTGACGTCCTCTCCTACACCCTCAGTAGTATGTACTGACGTCCTGACGCCCTCCTACACCCTCAGTAGTATGTACTGACGTCCTCTCCTACACCCTCAGTAGTATGTACTGACGCCCTCTCCTACACCATCAGTAGTATGTATTAACATCCTCTCCTACACCCTCAGTAGTATGTACTGACGCCCTCACCTACACCATCAGTAGTATGTACTGACGTCCTCTCCTACACCCTCAGTAGTATGTACTGACGTCCTCTCCTACACCCTCAGTAGTATGTATTAACATCCTCTCCTACACCATCAGTAGTGTGTACTGACGCCCTCTCCTGCACCCTCAGTAGTATGTACTGACATCCTCTCCTACACCATCAGTAGTATGTACTGACACCCTCTCCTACACCCTCAGTAGTATGTACTGACGCCCTCTCCTACGCCATCAGTAGTATGTACTGACACCCTCTCCTACACCCTCAGTAGTATGTTCTGACGTCCTCTCCTACACCCTCAGTAGTATGTATTGACACCCTCTCATACACCCTCAGTAGTATGTATTAACATCCTCTCCTACACCCTCAGTAGTATGTACTGACGCCCTCTCCTACACCCCTCAGTAGTATGTACTGACACCCTCTCATACACCCCTCAGTAGTATGTATTAACATCCTCTCCCCTACACCCAGTAGTCAGTAGTATGTACTGACGCCCTCTCCTACACCATCAGTAGTATGTACTGACGCCCCTCTCCTACACCCCCCCTCAGTAGTATGTACTGACGCCCCTCACCTACACCATCAGTAGTATGTACTGACGCCCCTCTCCTACACCCCTCAGTAGTATGTACTGACGCCCTCTCCTACACCCTCAGTAGTATGCACTGACGCCCTCGCCTACACCCTCAGTAGTATGTACTGACGCCCTCTCCTACACCCTCAGTAGTATGTACTGACGTCCTCTCCTACACCCTCAGTAGTATGTACTGACGCCCTCTCCTACACCCTCAGTAGTATGTGTACTGACGCCCTCTCCTACACCCTCAGTAGTATGTACTGACGTCCTCTCCTACACCCTCAGTAGTATGTACTGACGCCCTCTCCTACACCCTCAGTAGTATGTACTGACGCCCTCTCCTACACCCTCAGTAGTATGTACTGACGCCCTCTCCTACACCCTCAGTAGTATGTACTGACGCCTCTCCTACACCCTCAGTAGTATGTACTGACGCCCCTCCTATACCCTCAGTAGTATATACTGACGTCCTCTCCTACACCATCGGTAGTATGTACTGACGTCCTCTCCTACACCCTCAGTAGTATGTACTGACGCCCTCTCCTACACCCTCAGTAGTATGTACTGACGTCCTCTCCTACACCCATCAGTAGTATGTACTGACGCCCTCTCCTACACCATCAGTAGTATGTATTGACATCCTCTCCTACACCCTCAGTAGTATGTACTGACGTCCTCTCCTACACCCTCAGTAGTACATACTGACGCCCTCTCCTACACCCTCAGTAGTATGTACTGACATCCTCTCCTACACCCTCAGTAGTATGTACTGACGCCCTCTCCTACACCCTCAGTAGTATGTACTGACGCCCTCTCCTACACCCTCAGTAGTATGTACTGACGCCCTCTCCTACACCCTCAGTAGTATGTACTGACGCCCTCTCCTACACCCTCAGTAGTATGTACTGACGCCCTCTCCTACACCCTCAGTAGTATGTACTGACGCCCTCTCCTACACCCTCAGTAGTATGTACTGACGTCCTCTCCTACACCCTCAGTAGTATGTACTGACGCCCTCTCCTACACCCTCAGTAGTATGTACTGACGTCCCTCTCCTACACCCTCAGTAGTATGTACTGACGCCCTCTCCTACACCCTCAGTAGTATGTACTGACACCCTCTCCTACACCCTCAGTAGT